CAAAGTATGATTCTCCACAACTGGACGCTCCTTTCCTTTCTTTCTCTCTTTTCGTGTCTGCATGATCGTTTCACAAGTACAATATTATTAGAATGAAATGTAGTAGAAATAAATCAATGCAAGCATATTAAAATGTAAATACTTAATTATAAGAGGAAAAAGAGAGAAATAAATGAATACCTGGATTGTAAAATATTATAACTATTTTGAAGCCTTGTAAAGCTCTTATAAAGTATAATAATATTTAACAATATACAAAGTACTTTTAAAGCTTTACATTAGATTGTATATATTATAAAACTATATTACTCTTGTTAAAATACAAAGTTCTTTTAATATCTTTTCATTTTAGGAGGTTGGATATAAGTTCATTTACATATTGTCAATACTTATAAACCTTATTCATATTAACAATTTGTACATACCTTTTTGTATCTTATATAGCTTTTTATAATTTTCTCATTTTAAGAGGTTGGATATATGGTCTTTTATATTTTTTAGAAAATTTATATAATTTATATGTTTATAAGCTAATATAAGCCTTAAGACTTTTTCCTGATGTTGGCCTCATTGAAGTAAACCGGAATGTTCTCCCAGTCTGCATCGATGAAGACGAGATCGAAGGGCTCGCTGGACTTCAGGGTTTTCAACGTATCGGCCGCTGGTCCCACCTTCACTTCAACCTTGGACAACAAGCCTGCGCGGCTAATGTTCTCTTTGGCGACCTATCAAAGGTACTCAGTAACCTTGCCATTCATATGTAGGGCTCGGTACCGTACCGTATACGGATACGGGCCGTATAATACGACCCTTATACGGATACGGCTCGTATAATACGGTGCCGTATTTCTGAACCCGAAAACCTATACGGATACGGTACGGCCGTATACGTTCCATATACGCCATATACGGATACGGCGTAGTTGCTACATTTACCAAGGTGTAGCATGAAATGTAAGGGGCTATATCATTGTGTTATTACCTCTTTAGTATAGAAATATTGAATTCTACCTATATTATGCCTTAATCTTCATGAAATGTATAAAATTTGACTTATTGACATTTTGTTATGTAATTTAGTCTGTGATATTTGTCATAAAGTCGAGTCATGTGATGTACCTATATATCGGAATATATATCAGATTGCACATACTTTTACAATAATAGTGCTGAATATATTAGTAAATGCTAGTATAAGTGTCTGAACATTGATACTACTTATTAGAGCTT